ATTAATTGTTGGAAACGAGAATCTTTTATGATTATAATTGAATTTTTTCTCGTTTGTGTGCATTTATGTATTAAACTCATAAAGTATTAGTTTTTATTTTATTTTATGTATTTATCTCTAAGTATAATTTTTATTTGTTCATCTACCACCCTAGCCTTTACGTGCCAATATCTGACAACACAATATTGAAGTGCACAGTAACACTTTTAAAGTACAAGGTGCAACTGCAAGACATGATGCAATAGATCGAGCGCAGAGAAATTTCTCGGAATGAGTTTTACATGTTTTAATCTTTTAAGTTTCACCTTTCAAATTTGTATGGTGAATAACACTAAATTTTTGACTGAAGGCCAATATGAATTTATTTGAATAACTTGAAATTTGCGCTAGGATACCCAAGTTTTGTGTCCTTCTTCTCATTGATTCTGTTACATGTAAGTCTAATCACTCAGCTTCTGACCCGTTCTCCCTCCGTGGCATGGTCACACCGTCCTGGGAGAGAGGTGTACGCATATGGCCTAACACATCACATTACCCAGACCATTGTTGATGAGGTCCAAGTACCTCTGAGATCGGGCCAGTAGACTAATTACACAAATAACACTAAGAGATTTGTCTAATTTAATTACATGTGGCGCGAAGATATTCTTCTAAGCTAAGAGAATAAATTTATCCCAAATAACTTCTCTCCTCCGTTGTACGAGTTTGTGTGGTAGGTTCGTGTAATAAAATATGTTTCTTTGGAAAACAAATATTTAAATGGAATTTAAACCACTAACATGATCTTCTGCTTTTGCATCCTATAACATCAACCATGGTTAAATTGAACCGAGTCCAGAAGCTTGATAATGTATTAGAATCTTTTCGAAAGTTGGAACCTGAATCCAAAGACCTAAAGCCGACAAAATATCCATATATGAGAAATATGGGAAATTTCTGAGAGTCTAATATTTGATATTTTGACAGAATTTTCTTAGGGTGGTTGTAACGCCCCCGATCATTTATAGACCGGAAACGCTACTGACGAATACTTAAGTGTCCGGTCAGAGGTTCCTGGAACATATCCAAAYTCCCTAGACAAGACTTCTAAGCGTTCGTCCCCATCAGGTACATCTCAAGGCTTGCCAACCCGAGACATACGTAACGGTTAGTTCGTCCGGACAAGGACTAGTATCACATGAAACCCAAATTTATGTAAACTCGATTTGTTTTTAAATATAATTTATACATAAATTTTAAATGTGATACAAGCATATACAAGTGTGAGTCTAATACTCCAAAACGATCATGTACATAATAAACATTACTCATTTACAAAAGGCAAGAA